TGTGTCTCCTCCCCCACCCTACAACTTCATTTTCATGCAAATCAAACTCATCTCCCTTTGAAAGGCTTTGCCCGAAGACTCGTTTTGAAACAGAGGCAAAATGCAACTCGGAAGTCACCTGTTGCAACCCATAAGACAATCAGTATCACAGGAAATTAGCTCAGAAAACAATCGCAAAACACCTCGGGGATAAGGCGGGGCACCGCTGAGTCCTTCAAACTCTGACTAAAAAAAAGCAATCAACGTGCAAGAACATTAATTATCATTTTTTAACATACGCGCGTAACGGATCAACTGTCAGAAAACAATTCAGACAAAAGGCATTTTAATGACTAATTACACTGTAATTATAATAATAATTATAATAATCAATGTACATGAAGCAACAATTTTTTCATATGCGGATGGTATGCAACTTTCCTTCATGACATAACATCCTTATTAAAACTATATTTCATTAACAGGTCCTTCTTAAGGAAACAATCACCTACAACTCGAGTCAGTTAAGCCGTACCGGTATTCGCTTTTTGTGAGACACTCCAAAACATTACGATCAGGGGGCTGGGTGGGAAAGTCTTGGCTTGCCCTTCCCCACTCATGACAGATCATTACAGATGATCCTTGGGACACAGAACAACTGGGATTTTTGTGTGATGGATGACGTAATTACTGACACTTCCCAGAACTGTGCGCCTTATGAGCCCGGAGCCACGGCTGCTCAACACAATCAGCATGGCTTTCTCTTTCAGAGCCGCTTCACATATCTTCTCTCCTGGCTTGCCTTCCTCGACCCTGAACTTCACTGGAATCTGCAAACGAGAGAGTGTAGCAGTTGTTAGAAGACCCTTGAAGCGATTTTCATTTGAGTGTCAAAAAGTAATTGTTTTTGCATTACGATGCTACATGCTTGGCCTGTGGGGAGGTACTCCCTTATATGGGCTATATAGGTGTGTGCGGCCCCAAAGGGTATGGTTTTTCAGCCGTTTTGGTCATAAATAGGGTATCGATTTTAGCTGATTTTGACCATTTTGGTCATAAATAATAGGTATGGTGTTTGCAGTCTAGCCTTGATTTGTGTGTTTTAAAGAAGAAGCCACTTTTTCATCATTATCGAAAAGAAAGTCAACAAAAGCCCTTCACAAATCATGTTTACAGTAATTTAACATTGGTCTGAACTAGGGAACTAATCATAACGCAGGTCTGAAACAGGGTTTTGATTTAAGGGTCAAGTCATAAATAGGGTTTCGAATTTTTGATCTGGTCATAAATAGGGTAGGGAATATCGCAGATTTTGGTCAAAATAAGGTAAGGGTTTTGGGAAGCGGGCTGCACACCTCCACCCAATTTTTCTGGGAGTACCCCCCTGAGGTCTGGGACGCCTTTGCTCAAACAAGTTAAGACACTGTTTTGCGAATCTACAGTAGACATAATAAGAAACAATACACCAACGCAAAGTCAATGTTTTGGGACTTAAGGGATCACAAGCTTTCGACGCTGTCAAAGCGACAACGTCGTTCCCAGTCTCTCATCTTCCCACCCTCCCTCCTGGGTCTCTCCTCTCAAGCTCCGGGAGGGCGAAAAGACGAGAGACCCTGGGAACGAGGTTACAGCCACAGCATCAGAGCATCTTTCTCGAGTGATTATGGCGGGAATCTATTTGTCACGTGAGCTTGGGTGGACTGAGTCACGTGTCAAAACATCCTCGTATAGGGCTGTAAATTTAAATCCGGTGTCAATTGAAGGTTGGCTGCTAGGGCCTCAAATTCTCCTTCTAAATTTGCTTTCCTTTCTAGCTATGACAGGCTTTTTTTTGACAGCCACCTTACTCTTTTTCAACTTGTGGTCTGTGTCCCTAAGTTGTGACGATGTAGCATTGTTAGAATGTTCCTTTGACCAGGTGTTAAAGGGTCGGGTGTCATCTACAAATTAGAGTGTGCTGATTGCGAAAAAGATCTACATTGAAGAAACCGCCCACCCCTTTATTACTGAATTTAATACTTGCAATAGCTCTCATCACGCCCGATGACTATTACAACACTCCCAACACATTTTTATCTTTTCACTCAACTATGGTGGTATAATCAGAGAGTTCATTTGTTTTAAATAACAACAACATTTTTTGGATAATATGTAATTTATAAGCTGCACCCCGTGTTACGCAAAGAGAAAGATCAACTTTTGTTCAACAAGATCGCCTCCAAGAAAGACCACCCACTTCAAGATTTGTTGCCGCCAAACTGGTCAAGAACCCAAGCAGACTCCCATATAAAAACAACAGGAGTGCTTGTTGGAAATTTTAATAAGAACCCTTGCAAGGTACCAAGATCTTGTATTGTGGGCGTGGCTTGAATTTTTTTCTACCCCTAAGAGGTACATATCCTAAAACAAAACATTATCTCCTATCATTGTTTTTTTTTGGCTCAGTACCCTAAAAGGTACTGCAAAAGCTCCCACTGGGGACCTTTTGAGAGTACCGTAAGAGGCACTAAAACCGCCTTTTTAGCCCCTAAAAGGTACGACGAGCACCTCCATGCTTTTCATACGTGAGTTCCCCCCCCCCCGACCATGCAGCTTAAGTCTGTAATTAGAAGTACGAAAGCGTGGGCTCACTATGANACACACAAACAAGTCAAAAGGGTCAATTCTGCATTGTATTGACCCTTTCGCTTTGTTTGCATGCCTTTTAAAACAAAAGAATACTTGACCGCAGACTCAACTGCAATAACAGCTATTCCAACTCCCTCAGGTAAGAACTGAGAGATACAAAAACTCGTCTATGAACAGATGCCTTTTTAAACTTGTGTAGATTTTAAACTGTATTCATCTTATTGTTATACACAGATTTGAAATTGCAGATTTTAAATTATGTAGATTTTAAATTGTATTCATCTTGCTTTCATTCAGGATTTAAGTGAGATTTGACTGTAAAGGATTTGATTGTTATGACTCACATCTGCTGAGTCTAACATTTTTCACGTAAGAAATAAAGACCTCATTCATTCATTGAAAATTTTCCTCAATTAGTACATTATCTGGAACTCAATTCCATTTCCTGCCCAAGAAACAAATGGACCAATAACTTGATAGTATCATATTCCCTTTATTACAGGCCTGTGGCCTGACTTAATTGCTTAAATTTAGAAATTCCTTTATTATTGCTTGTCCTCCTTCACAATTTAGAAGGCTTTAGGAAATAAGACGAAAAACCCATTGACATGACCAATCGACCTGTATCACTTGACACACAAAATTAAAAATAAACTACTGACAACAAAAAAACAAGTTCTATCACAGACCGTGATTACTAATTTTATTACTCTCTTGGGGGAGATGACAATTATTACTCTCTTTGGGGAGGTGACAATAATTATTACTCTCTTGGGGGAGGTGACAGTATATTACGTTTCCATCGTATGTGCTTTTTTAGGGTGGCCCTGAACCCCATGTACAGAATATTTTGAAACTTGGCCAAATTAGTTGCATCTGATCCTGCTTATCAAAATCTGATAATAATTATTAAAGGTTTTTGCCATGCCGTTTTCGAAATATAAGTACTTAAGGTAAGAATTAAGAGTGTTTTTAGCGACTCATGCCGTTGCTATGGTAACATATAGTGTCACAAAAATGATAACAATGCGTTCACCAATGATTGAGCAGTTTTTTGATACCATGATTGTAGCATCAACTGATAAAAAGTGGTTATAAGGATCAATCATAATCTACGTCTTGAAAAGTGCTGGCAACTGTTTTAAGTGACCTTAAAATACTTCAATATATAAATTGCATACCTTGAAATCCTTGCACCTGTCCATGTATTTCTTTTCAAAAGCTTTCAACTTGTCTTCTATTTTTTGGACCTCGTGTTTCCATTCCTCGAGGACCATCGCATCTGAAAATGTACCCAAGTGTTAAACATTAAGGACACACTGTTATGTTCCATTACATTATTACAGCTAGTCTGTAAGGTCACTACATTTTTGGAATTAAGGTACAGACGTGAAAGGATATCAGCTTTGAAATGAAATGAAATGATATGGAAATGGAAAAAATGGAACAAAGTGAAATCAAATGAAATCAAATGAAAATCAAATCAAGTCAAATCAAATCAAATGAAACCTAATGAAAATAAAATGAAATGAAATCAAATCAAGTATGATCAAATGAAATCCAAGGAAATCAAATGAAATCCAATGAAATCAAATGACAGATTTTCCAAGGCAGTGTGTAGAAAAGTTGCTTGGTACCTGTATCTGATCCTTCTTTCACCAAGTATTTTTGCAGTTCAAGGCTTTAATACCCAGTGTCCCAGGGGTGGGAAGAGGAGGGGGTTGAGGGGGAAGGGAACTTCCATTTGCACGGGACACGGATGTTTGTCATCACTTTCAGGGGTGCATACTACAAATTTTGGTATTGCTTATGGTGTCCAGGACAAAATGCTAACGTTTCTCTCGTCAAGGAATCTTTTAGAGTCGCACACATAAAATTAGAAAATGCAGTCATACTGTGTTATAAAGCAATTTTTGTTGGCATCATTGTTTACATTTTGCCCCATAAGCATATGACTTTAATTTGCATAGAAAAGACATCATGTTAGATATGAATTGACTCCAAACAGATTAAGATCTAGTAAAACTTGGTACAAAGTGAAATTTTTTGTTCTTTGGATGTAATATTGAAGGAGATATTGTAAAATATTTAACTTTCAAAATATCTGAATGGCAAAAGCACTTACGAGCCCATACTTTCTTTGTAAAATTTTGAGCTTTTAAACCCGTGTATTTGCACAAAAATTATTCAATGTGTACATCAGGCTCAATTTCTTGGGACAGTTAGCCCTGCTAGGACTTACAATATTCTGCTTGACGTATTTTTGTAGCTCAGTCAGAAACTAATTTTGGATGCTTAAAAATTTTGGATGGTTTAAATTTATTTTCCAACACTTCTTGTGTCCGAAATTAAAAGCACTTAATGAAGTGATGAAGCATGCTGGTGAGCCTGGAAAGTGCTAATGATGAAGAGCAACACAAAGATCTCAACTCAATTTTACCAAAGTCTCGGCAAGTTTTCATCATTCTTGGCAAGATGTAGGCAATCTTGCCAAGATCTTGCCGAGATTTTGAAATTCACAAACATCACGCTGAGATCTTGATGAAATCTTGGCAATCTCAGCAAAAATGTTGTACGGGGCCTGTGAACTGACATGGTGTGCCCGT